TCCCATTCTCCCAGATTGCGGCACCTCTCCATCTCCTCCCGGGTTGGGTACCTGCTGTATCTTGAGGTTTTTCTTTCCAAACTCTCTGTCTTTTGGTTTGACTTTGTCCTGACTTGCTTTCTGCGCTTTTCACCTGCGGGTGAAACCGGGTTGAGCTCCTACTTTTACGTCTTTCCCGACAGCATTTTTACTTTTGTGTTGTCTGAGGATTGTGATGCTGAGATCCACCATTTCTGGGGAGTTTCTTTTGTATGCCTCTTATTGCTTCTTCCCCTTGTTTCTTTCTTTCAATTCTTGCCTCCACATCCAGATGTGACATCATACCTCATATAAGAGGTTACTGGCATCTGTGATGTCTCATCTCACGTGTTTCTGTTTCATAGTCATAAGAGATCTTTGGCCTTTCCTTAATCTAAATGTTTAGAAACTGAAAGCATGTCTAACAAAACCAGTGCCAATACAGTAGAAATCCACACCTTCTGCCACTTTTAGAGTTCTTTAGAAGCCTTGCATCTTTCTAACCAATTCAAATTTTACTAACGGAGAACTCCGGAGAACTGGTCACATTATGGTAAGGGTGTAGAAGACTTCACCTTTATTTAGCAAACTGTGAATATGCATCATTTTGGAGGTGTTTTCACAAATTAACACTGCAATATCATAAACACTTTAGTACCCTTATCCCTGCAGTTTTTGCAAAACTATAACAAAAAAACACATTAAAAACTGAAAAGTGCTCTTTAATATGCACATGAAGATTAGACAGGGCAGGGATACTGAGATATACACCAATACTGGTGTAATGCATCAATTAATCCATATGAAGAGAGTCTACGCTCAATATTAATCACTTTGGCTGCTCAGAGTATGCACTGTTTATGGACTGACAGGCACCCAGTTTTGACCTCTCTCAATGGTGGCCACTACCGCCAAGTGGAACATGTTGCCAGGGCCCCTTGTGAAGAGGAACAGACACACAAGAGCCACCCTCTGTTTACAATTCCTTTCGCTGAAATCATCTGATCCAGCTGGAGATTTATGACAATTAACACATTAACAGGATAAACACTTCCCAAGTGCCGGCTATGGGTTCAATCACCTTTGCGAGATGGTAACTCTGAGCCTGGTTTATATACCTGGGGGATCCTATGAGCACCTTTTTCACTTTGTGCGTTTACAGCCAGCTGCAGACAGAGTGTTTACTGAACACAGGAAAAGAGGGCTGTAAAACCATCTGTGTTAAAAAGCCCAATTACAAGGAGACATTGAACGTCTTGGGGGTATTTTTTTTGCACATAATGAGACCTATGCTGCCTAGAAGGACAAAAGCAAGACTTAAAAGGTGGAAATGCACCAGTTACATACCTGTGAGTAATTTCAGGATTGTGTCTGAAAGCTTGCACTGTGTCCTCTTAAATCAGTTTTGTTTTTCATCCCTTTTATTTTTTTCCTTCACCCTACCCAAAGCTAACTGTACTCCGCAGCTTAATGAAACTCCTGGGCTCTCCTTCTCTCCACATGCTTTTCTTAATCAGTTTTGAATTTATTCAAATGTTACGTGTACAAAAAAATAATAAAAGGGGCAATTCTACAAAACACAGATCACAATATCTCAAAAACTGTTTCCTAGCATTATTGAGGAGTACTTGTGGATGAAAACAGGATTGTTCAGTATGGCTTAAGAGACATCTTTCTTAAACTCTGTATTATAATGACACCTTTCGTGCCAATACATGACGTAGCTGCATAACGTTATATAATTTAGACTTAATTAGAAAGAAATCAACAATATTTGGAAGAAAAACTGAAATTGACTGTTTTTTTTCCCCTCCCGACTCATACAGAATCTTACAGGTTCCCCTCGAGAGACGTGTGGAGCCGTTACAGTGTGGAAATATTGTGAGGCCGGCGCTGGTAGGAGGATTCCACTGTCCAAGAGCAACAATAAAAAATTAATTGTGGCACCACAAAGCCAGTCAGCGAGGGAGTTGGGATTAGGAATGTGTGAAATGGCTCATGAAAAGCAAAACAACTCCCCTTCACTGGAAGGCTCTGCCAACGAGAGGCCAAAACTGCGGGAAGAAACTTCAACTTCAACACGGGTCCTCTCTTAAAGAAAATGCCCATTTCTACTGGCTCGACATTTTATTACAGCCTATTGTTTAAAAACACAGACGCTTTGTGCGACGGCCTTTCTCTGCTAATCTTGACACAGAGCTCACTCCCAACGTCAGGTTCGAAACGTACTGATGATCCCCCTTTTCTCCAACTGTGCAAGTTGAAAAGGTGCAGGCCACAGAATTTAGATATGGGCAGGAGTCAAGAATTCCACGTCATCTCAGTTCTATGGAGATAGACACTGCACTACAGTTTCAGTAGTTTAGCAAGTCTAATTCTGAAAACTTGAAGCAAAAATGTTCGAAAAATGAAATCGTCCCAAGATGAAAATGCGGTCTGTGATCATTTGCTCCTTGTTAAAAGGGCCAGGAGCTGGAAGGAAATTAGGTTTAATCAAGCTGGTCTGCTTCATATTCAAATACATTCTGTATAGTGTCTTGCAATAGCATTAAACGCCCTGAAAAGTTCTGATACCCGAGTTTAAAACCATGACCCTTTCAAAACGGGACTTTATCTTTAAGAATCTGTACACAGTCGACACCAAAATAAGAAAGCTAAAAAATGCAGATAGTTTAAAATAATACAACAGATTTTTAAAGACAGCTGAAAATTCTCAATTGGATACGTACACGGTACAGCCCCTTTTCCACAGCAAACCTTAATTAGTTCAGAAGCAAAGTCAGCCGAGGTCACAAAATTAGTATAATTATCTGTGTCAGTTCTTCTCAGAGCGATTAAACTTGATTTCAGAGTAAATACTTCTGTCTCATCAGGTTCCTTCAGATAGACACTGAATTTCAAGCCACATTGTCCAGTATGGGCGAGTGGCAAGAAAGTCTTCTTTACTGAATAAGAATTCTTTTGAATCCTGTATCAGATATACTGAGCACATGTCTCAAACTAGACAAAACTGAGCTCTGGTGTACGTCCATCACAGCCTATCACAGCATTGAGTCAACCACCCCTTCCGTCTGAGATGGTGGTGGCAGCATCCTGTTATAGGAATAGGTCTTATCACTACTGAGGGGAAATACATCTATCACTACTGAGTGGAAATAATTTAGTAAAATAAGGCCACCCTGAGCAACAAGAGAGTTAATGTCCTTGAATGGCCCAGTCAAAGTCCTGACTTGAACCCCTTAAAAATTAAATGGTGAGGAGTAATATATCAGAAGTGGAGCAATACTGTCAGGAAGAATGGACAAATTTATACTTTGGAACCTTGCAAAGCTACTATAGACATATCCAAATAGTCTGACAGCAGTCATTTCTGCCTGCAAAAGGTGCTTCTACAAAGTACTGACTTACAGAGAAGAATGCTTATGCAATCAATAGACTTCACTTTGATCATCTTTGTAGGCTGTGCTGATACGTGTTGCCATTCATACAGTACAGTATATAACCCTGCTCAGTTTGATTGTGAGAGTTTTGAAGAAAGTTCTTTTGGAAAAAACAGAAATTGCATTACACGTGATTCGTCATAATATGATATTACTCACCAACGTATTCACACCCCGTAAGGCAAGGTAGATAAAAAATAGAGAACGGAGAACATGAGTACAGGCCCACAAAACACTATCCCAGGCAAGACCAGGCTTATTCACACAGAACACCTCCAAATATACAACAGCCCTAACTAAAGAAAGCCAAGGTAAATTTTGAAGCAACAATCAAACTTTAAATACTACAGTGTTGTAACTAAGACACTGCTTTCCATTTTAGGATACACAAGCTGGATAACCTCATGCAAATCAGCCCAAGGAAAAACTAGGGCACAGACACATGCCATTTTGTTTTTAACTCCACATCTGTCCTTTGAGACTCCCTCAAAACAAAGCAACATCCATGAAATACTCAGCTCTTGGCAATGGTTTAACAAGAGCCCACAACTTGTGAAACCATAGCCTCAAATGGGTTTCGGCAATAGCAACAGGAAAACCTTAAAGGAACTTCAAGTATTTTGTTTACTAACCACTCCATTGAGCAGAAGGACCGTATTCAAAGCTACCCTTCTGGAAACAACGTTCTTGCTGTGTGTATTGTTGCCAGGCGAGTTGTTATTATATGTGTCTTTGTGAGTTGTGTGTGTGTGTCCCTACCCAGATAGGAAAAGCAACACCTGACTCTCCTTGAGAACACAAGATCATTTCTTGTTCTTTTTCACTAGCTTATTCAGAAACCAGATCTTATCAACACAGACCAGTTTTGCCTCAAGCATTTCTGAAAGAAAAGTGAGGGAAACATGTGCTGGAGGAAACTTCTAGGTGCCAAAATACCTTTGCCTGCTATTTCCTTTGACTTTTAATCACATTGGAACGAGTATGGCCTGCCTGGGGAAAAATTATAAGCACGCTGTTATCTACACCTGTACAGAATATTTCCCCTCTAAACTTTGCTATTTAAATAATCAAAACTCATTCTCCAGTCTGCCGAATCTAACATCTGAAAGAGTTACGCAAACAAATTACTGAAATTCTTTGGTGTTCAGCACTTCAGGAAAAATGCCTAGACTAGGCCATTTCAGAAGCATAAATGAGTACTGCTGCAGGCAAGAAGACAGGAGAAATTCACTATACTTAATGACAAACAATTCATGGCTTTCAAAATTAACAGCATTGCTCTGAAGTAATTTCCCATATTCACCAAAGTTCGATGGGCTAACATTTTTGGCAGTTTCACATGGCCACTGTCCATTTTCAGCACCTAGTAATTTATAAATCAATTTATCAATCTCATTTGTCAATACATAATGCGTTCAATTGAACAGCGGAGATAAGCAACAGAAAATACTAAATACATTTTCACTCCTCTGATGTGTCAACTTGACCAATGAGACACATTACACAGTTTTACCGAAAGAGCTAAAAAAAAGGGTCACTCACCATCTCATCCAGGGCGTAGCGCAGTAATCCATGTTCATACAGAATGAAGAACCTCCTCTGCCATTTCTGTGAGGAACAGGAAAGTCATTAAAAACTCGGCAAGCCAGAAGCCTGGTTAACTTTCTTACACCTACAGCAGAGTCCTGCCATTTGAAAAATGAGCAGTTAGGAGAAAAAAAAAAAGTGGATTTGTCTAACTAATGTCTTTTTTTCCCCACTGAATCACTGAATCTTAAACTCCAGGCCAAGGAACCAGATACAGATGTGTTTGTACTGTAGATCCTCAGCATTTTGCTCCCCGTTAATTTATCTGTACAGTAAAGACACCTGTACTTCTTTAACTGTAAAGCTCTTATTTTGTTAAGGACGTTAAGGAGTTTTAATGTAGAAAACACAATGTTGAGACTTTTTTATAAGATTTCATTTCAGCGAATTCTAACCTTTTGTGTTCAGAGCTGGGGAGGTGCCTTGTCCTTATACAAGACAATTGTTTTTTTAAATCTTGTGGTACTGGAAGCGACTGAGCGATGTTGTTGAATGTTTTTTTGCAGCACAGTATTGTACAGCTGTTGTATGGCATTATTGTCATGTACGTCACATCCTAATAAGCAAGACAATTTCCCTTAGGGGCAATAAAGGTTCATTCAATTCAATCTGACCTCAGCATGGCTTTAAGAGTGGTGAGGATTCTGCATTTAGATCCAACAAGAAGATCACTAGTGCCCATCACTTTCTGTCCGTTCCATTAGCCAGCAGTGTACCTTATACCTAGGAACTCTGGAAAGCATTTGTTGAATGTATTGCCAAATAACTGTAATCCGTGTCTGGCTGTTTGCGTGTCTGTGTGTGTTTGGCATGTCTGCGTTCAGCGGAGAGGAGTGTGGTTAACTGGATAGACAGAGCAGGATCTAGATTTGAACTGTTTAGACTCAAAGACCGCTTGACCATTTTTTTCTTGCTTCTGTTCTGAAATGAAACCGAAAAGGACTGGGGGCCGAAAAAAGCTCCATGGACAGCAGATCTGCAGATTCAATGCATTTCAGATCTTGTTGCCTATAGGGCCTTGTCCTGATTAGGTGCAAAGGCAATGATTTTATAATATTATTTCAACTCCACACATCAAAACAGGGAACCTGGGTGGAAACACCGGATGTGGCAGCCGATACTGGCCTCTTTATAGCTATATACTGTATATGCAGTGAAAAGCGTTAAGTACCGGGACTGCAAAGTGAAAATTGGTCATTTTGGCTCTGCACTAATGAAATCTTTATTTCTGATCAAAAGATAAACTATAGACTTTTGCCTTACCTTAAACTTTTGATCTGAAATACAAATTTCTTTAGTACAAAGCAAAAATGACCAGTTTGACTTCACTATCCCAATACTTCTGCTTTCCACTGTACATATACTTTGAACGCTGTCCAGCTCTAAAACAGCCAAACTGCAACGCAGTGGAGACTGTTATCAGATTCCCTGTATTGCTACTGCAGTGCAAAGCCTGGACCTAAAGAGTACAATGCAAAATACTCCACGTTTTCCATCTGTTTAAGCCTTAGGCAACCTGCAACAGGTGATCTTCATCCAGCAAACTGGGCCAGTTTGGCCCCAGTCCAGATTTCTACATTATTAAAATTGGCCCCGTGAATTTTTAAAGACCTTTTTCATCTCCTCAGGCTGCTTAATGTTCCACCATTAACCCATTATCTTCCAGTGCATCACATTTCACTCTCCTCTTAATTTGAGCTTGCGTATTCTAATTCGTATCCATTTAATTTTTACTGGGTTCATGCCAATTAATTCTAAATTAGCAACAGAAAGGGTCAATTCAATCTAAGTTACAGCAGCCGCACTAAGAAAAGGAATTAAACAGAGAAACTGCAATTGTAGGTGGCCTTCTAATTAGGAATAAAAAGCTAACTCCACAGATCCTACCACTAGAGTGTGCGGTGTTTAATGAAATAAACTACTCGCCCTGCATAATCCAGGATTCTCCAATAAGCCTCTTAGAAAGATACAGAATTATCTAAAGGATGCTAACTCATCGCTTCCTTTTCTTGCCCCAAGCTGTGTTGTCAGTAGCATCACACATGGACATCCTCACTCGACTGGTCTGTTGTAAATGACCACTTTATTGTCCTGCATGTCTGTCACACTAAAACACTACTGAGGTGGTTGATTTATTTCTGCTGGAGAGCCCACCTGAGACCAACCCAGTCCAACATACCCCACTCCAGACAAAAAACAGCTCGTGTGCCCACTGGACCACAAAAACAGCCATCAGTACCAAAGCTTGATATTCAACAGGTTAAATCACCTTATTGCTCCACTAACAGGGCAATCCAGTGCTGATGCAAGAGTCAAAATCACTCGACTCCATCGTGGTCAACCATGAAAGATCAATTAAGATGCATTTTTCCAAACCTATTTTTAAAACTCATTTCAAAAACCTAAATAGGTTCTTCTAAAACCATACCTGCCGAACCAGAGAGCTAGGTTTCTCTTGATGCTCAAAATACTACACGTTTATGCCCACGAGTACGTTTCTTGCTCTTACGACAACAAAACTGCTTTTACATATATCATGCCAATAAAAGCAATGAAAATGTATATATTCCAAATGTACTACTGGGCTCAAAGCCAGCACCACATCCTAAAAGGAAAAGAAAAACGACTTTTCCAGCAGCAGGATTGTGGGAATCTTCGTCTTTGGCAGGCAGACTCAATTGTGTCTTTGCGCCCACCCCCAGAACCGATATCTCGTTCCCATAACTAAACATCTTTTTTATCTTCTAATAAAACCCAAGAGAGTTCCTCCCCAACCACTGACAAGCCAAGGACATGGGAATTAAAGATAGGAAAGGCATAGGAAGTGGATTAGAAAAATGTTCAGTTGCCAGACCTAATTTAACAAGTCGGAAAACAAAAAAAAAAGCAAAAGTTGTGTTTTTTATTATTATTATTATTATTATTATAGAGCCCACAGTGTCAGACAACCACAAGGCTGAGTCAGCTGACAATTTGACTCAGGGCCCTTGAGTGACAACACATGTGGCTGTTGAAGGTTACATTCAGGCTTTCACAAGCCCTGTGTGAATCAGCATTACATTTGTTCCACATTTTCAAAAACTAGCACAGAGCCGTGAATCTTTAAACGCTCCAACGGCACAGGACATTCCTTTATAACCGGACGACAAGGGCTCTCGAACCCTTGGCTCAGACTGAGCCAGAGCACAGGAATAAAACCGCTGGGCCTCCGAGTACAACGCCAGATCAGGGGCCTCGTACTGGAGTCGCAGGGGTTATCAATGTCGGCCTGAATCAGCCACCCCTGAAACACGTCTGTCCAGGAGGAAGAATTTTCTTGCCTCTGGGTTTCACTGATTACAGAAAGTGTCATTTGAAGTCAGTCACCGCACCACCAAACATTCCTCGAGTCCGAGATTGCGGAAGCAAGGGCTGAAGGTGGGAAGGTGCACTGCGTTAGAGGAGCATCTTGTGGTTTTGAGCGCCATATGTTTCCTTAACTTTAATTTAAGTTAAATTAAAACCCGGACACCCTGCACCCTATTTAACCAAAATGGGCCTTTTTTTTGTACGACACCTCTTCAACTTTTATACGAATGGAAGGGCAGGCCTGATGTAGCACTGGGTTCCAAAACGGAGGGCCTTGCATTATTTTGGTTTATTCTTCGGTTTTGACGTCTACAAGTAAATATTGACTGAATGCTCAACTGCACTCAGTGAAGTTTACTCATTGCATTATACTGTATGCTCCTAAAACTGCTCTTGTCGTGCAGGCTGTAGTTTTGTTTTCTGTGGATTGTGTGGTTGGACGGCAGGGGTTGCTCAGTCCCTCTGTCGGGAAAAGCTTTCCAGCCACGCCACAGAATCCGGTCTGCATCCCGGAAGAGTTCATATCCGGGACTACATGAAACCAGGACTAGGATGGGGTGGAGACGGAGGGACATTGGGTTGGGGGGCGGGATTGTGATCACAAGGCATTATGGGTTTTAAGAACTACAGTATATGCTTTTAAACCAATTGGGCGAACAAGCAGATCAATTGTTTTATCCTGTCTGTTCAAATTCGGTCAAAATCACATCAAAATCTCCCATCACCTTCCACTGGCTCATTCAGAAGGCCCTGCAGCTTGTATAACCCAAGATGCTTAACCGTGTTTCTGCCTGAGGTACGTATGAGGACAAACACCCCCAACTTCCCAAACAACAGTGCGCACCACACACATGAACTCTTGTAAGGGACACTCTTTATATTTCAAACTGTATCTGGCTACACCTGTTGTAGAAGTGTTCAGAAAAGTGCGATAAAAGTGTAAGCAATTATTAATTATTACACTCGTACCCCCTCAGCAAGGCACTACATGCAGAGTCGCTCAGGGAAATCCAGCCATATAATTCTGTGTAATTCTGTATGTAGAATAATTATGAAATTGTAATCCATGCAAGTTGCTTTGAATAAGAGCCAACAGACAAAATAATATAATATGTGGGGCCCGGCAGCTCTGTCATAACACTACACACACAGTATGTACCACTAACCATGAGCAGTTAGATACCACTGCACTCCACTGTTTTGACAGCAGCAGAGAAAATATTCGATAACAAGCCATGCATTCATTTGTCATACGAGCGTGTGTTCATTGTTTCACGTTCAACCAAAACCATCAACATGCACATATATCAGAAGACAGAGCTGGGGTAACACGCCTTCAGAAAGCCGATGCACGAATGCCAGAGAAAAGCAAACGACGCAAACCTGAAAAAGAAATATGTCCGTGCAAAAGGCAGCACAGACTGAGCAGACGGGAATTCTTCCAACTCCACTTGTATGAAGACCACACATTTAAGGAACGTCAGTGAAAATCAGAGTTTCAGAATTAAAACTGGAAAAAAACTGAATGACAGTTTTACTTCATTCGATTTTTGCAGTACAGAAGCGCTGAACTTAACAGTCATTCCCTGCATCATCCCTTGGACAGGCCTACTGTACGTGTCCTAAGAAACTGCCTATAAACACAAACCTACATTCTATGCCTACTCTAGTTAAACAGGGCTTTAGTTAACTACCTGTCATTTACAATGGTTTCCACAGAGCTCATTGGGACTTTGCAGTGTAGTAAGTGTTTTCCCCATGTACATTCCTCATTCCACACTTGGCATGTAAATCCCAAACAACATATCTGGATATGTGCTAAATAATTTCTTCGATTATTGTGAAACTAACTGGAGCCCTCTGACAAACTAACATCAGTTTAACATCTATAGATCTATATGACAATCTGCCTCCTTAAATATTTGTCCTAAATTAGCCTTAAATAAACAGAAGGGTACTGCTACATCCTCACATTTGCCATTTATTTTATTAGACTTAGAATGTGCTCCTCCTGACCCAAGGGCAAATTCAGACATACAGTATTTCTACATTCAATTTATTCACATGCATCTACATTGTAGATACCAGTTTCTGTTGGTATCCAAGAGCCACAGGAAAAATGAATTAAGAGAACTCATCAGCAACCATTCCTGTCACAGAGTTATTAGTTGGTGTTGCGTTTCTAGCCACAGTTTACAGAGAAGACCATCAATAAAAGATGAAGAAGTCCTTTTGTGCTCTAAAAGGCATCAGGGATTTTGAATGCAGTGCCAACAGGAATCATTCAGAGGGTCAGGACCCTGTGAAACATAATATACTTACACCATGAGGCCATTAAACATTCAGAGTAGGCTCCTGAGGGCTGGATGATAAAGCAATTATATTTTTGTTGAATCTATAAAAAGGAGAAACCGCTGTCTTGTAAAGAGATTACTTTGTGCATCTGGTTTGTACCTCTCGTCTACCGTAGATTGCAAGGCAGACACAACGAGGTCGGCTCAGCAAAAATGAACTACAATGCTTATAGCAGATTGCAGGCAACATTAGAGATAGAAATTTATCTTCACCTGTAACATGCAAAGAAAATATCACTTTTTTTTTCCTTGCACAGGCCTCAGTATCATTTCTGGGCCCGATATTTGTACATTGTAAATGATAAGACTGAATACTGAAGCCAGCCCAGATGGGCACTGCTCTGTGTTTTCTCATGAGCCTGGGGTGCTGGTGGCACTGACCCCAGCCTTCCAGAAGAGTGGCAGCCCACTTACTGTTTCTGCAGGGCTTGTGCTTGCTCAGATTTGTGACTGGTGCTGTGCCCTTCAGAAATGATCCATTTTAACAGAGCAGGGCCTTGGGCTACCTGTCTGCAGGAACCTTGAGGCATAAAAGTACTGCAATCTTTCAATAATCTTATTATAAATTTTTGTTAACATTAATTTGTCCGATACTTCTCTTCCCCCCCGCCCCCCAAAGTCAAATTTGTTTATATCCATTTATACAGCTGGACATTTTTACTGATCAAAAAATTCATAGTGAATCAAAGTGAATCAAAGTGAAGTACTTTGCTCAAGGGTACAACAGCAGTGCTCTAGCTGGTACTTGAGCCCACATGTACTTGAGTCCAGAGCCTTTAACCCTTGCTGCAGGTGATTCAAGAGGAGGAACGGGGCTTCTTATCTGAAAGGATCAACCCCTTGGGTGAATCCAGGGGCACTCCTGTCGGGCAAACTCGTTTTTTTTATTTCTAAATTATTTGTTTAAAAAGGCCCATAGACTAGGGAGGTCAACAATAAATTAATAGCTATATACAGTGGGCCCATTTCCTTGAAATGCCTTGACTTAGACTTATATGAAAATGGAACAAACCGAAGATCCATACCCATCGACAAGAGCTAGGGAAAAAAATCTCCATCTTCCCACCAGAAACAGTTGCTGGTCCAAAAGGCTTCCTATAACAAGATTTGGCGAATGCTTCTGAGAAATTACCTTCTTTTTTGAGAAATGAAAAGAATTCAAGCCATTCTGTAACACAGCTGAGCTGCAGTTTGTTTTCACTTCTGAACTGTTTCATCTGCAGAAGGAGCTGTCGTTTGTATTGAACGCAGGTCGAAGCCTTAAGAGACTAAAATAACAGCTGCAGCCCATGGCTGGCAATAACAAGAGCACTGCATCGCACACACAAAATGTTTGCATCAACAAGCTTAACCAACATTTGTATTTGTGTTTGGGCTTACCTACGAGCAAACTATTTTAAGAGGGATCAACAACTCAGTTTTGAAGTGGTGATACATTAATCCAGTATTTAGTTCCAAAATGGCACCCAAAACAGTGGATTACTTAATTAGTTCAATAATTATCAATACATTTAAGGATAATTAAGTGGATTAAGCATAAACACAGCACAGAAAACCTTACCAGACTCACCAAATTACGTACACAAAAATTTAATACTGCCTTTATCTCATATTCAAATTGGATGGATAGACTTTTGCAGAAGTAAACATATATAAATAAATAGCATAGTTCTCGCAATGTCCCAGTCAATTTAAAGGGTAGAAATTTTAAGAGCTTAAGTCTAGCAGGCAGGTGTAAAAACTGAGACCTTAAAAGGAGCCATTTCTTGATCCTGAGCTGCAGATATTCAATCACCAGATTCAGACTGGCAAAGGAAATTTAACTTTTGAGACAGTCAACCAAACAATCTGAACACACACACCACACCACCTACCCACACACCTCACTCTTAATCGTCAGCCTATATCTTGATCCTAAAGTCTGTATTTTATGGCAGATTCTGTGCTTGAGTCTCAATGCAAACTCAACCTGAAACGCAATTCAATCCGAGTTACTAAGAGTGGACTTATACAAATTGTAGGACGGAAGATCTTTTCCATTTATTCCTGAGTATTTCAGCCATTAGGGGTTGTATTGTCATGCACTATGGTAACAAAGGCATGCTGACGTGAGGAACAAGACTTTTGCTGGAGCAGATGGGCTGTGAAAGGTGTTCTCTGTGAATCTGTCCCCCAAGCAGGAAACGGGCAAGGTGATGTTCGGTAGGACGGGCCTGACACGATGGGCTGAGCAAGCAAAAGATAAAAGATACAACTCCTTCTTACCCTGGATCTGTGCACAGGATTGTCAAAGTCTGTTCCCTCTGGAGCTAGAAGAAGCCATCCTCCATAAATAGGCTTTGCCTACACGAAAGAAAAAGTGCACATTAAAACTTGACACTTGGAGAAAAAAGACAGGGTAAAAACTTAGAGCATTACTTAGAGTTGCAACTATCTGTCCTATGGTCTCTTTTCATAATGTATGTTCATGCAGGTTTAGGACCAACTCTTTCATGACTCCCCAATTAAAAAATATGGATGTTTCAGGTCCGAGAAACTGACACTTACTGAAATTATACCGGCCTTTAAAAGAATCGCAAAAACCTCTCTGTTAAATGGAGCCACTGGTCTGAAGTTGTAAACCTCTGGTTTAACATGAAATTCCATGCATGAAATTCAGGTTTAACATGAAATTTGATATCCGAGTGTATACCGATGGGTCTGCACCATTTCTTTCTAAATGGTTATTAAAACGGATGCTTTCATTGAAATCAGAAAGTTAGGTTTCTGAACACTTTGAGCATTGAGCCTGCTGAGGTTCATCTTGAGCCTCACAGAGATATTCAAGATGCATCTGAAAGAAATGCAGAGAGAACACTGACAAGAAAACCGAGCAGCCGACTCTCAGGTGAATTTTATTTTTAAATCCATCTCTTTTACTCCCCCTGCTTTAAATAGATGTTCAGTGCTGCACTCCATTTCTAGCAGAGATAATGATGACGGAGTCAAACGAACAGCTGAAGCTGATGGCTGAGATCAGGGTTTTTCAAAAAGAAAATCAGATGAGCACCGGGTTAAAACTGCTGCATTATACTGCACAGGATTACGCTGACTGGGGTGTGCATGAGAAACACCAATATTAACACTTGATAACTGGCAAAAAAAGAGGAGAGAACAACCCTAGATTCTCAAGTCTGTGTTTTTAAAGAAAGGGGGCCTTCACATGGGTCTCATCTGACAAAAGCACAGAGCACCTGCCGATAAGACACTGAATGACAGCACTTACTACAATCAAACAATATTCGGAAAAAACAAGACTGTAACAGGAGCTTTAATGCGTCAAACACCGGAAAAGATTAATAATCGGAAAGCATATGGGGAGACATTAATAATATTATATTAAACTGTTATGTCCAGATCTAAATCAAGGGGCAAAAGTCCTCCCTCATAGCGATTCACCTGGACATGTCCGTAAATGCCAATGAGTGGACTGTGACACAAGACTTCCTTTTAACAGCAAAAGGACTGACTTGAATTGCTTAGGACTGTGGATATCTTTCAGTGCTTTTTATTGACACAACAGTCTGCAGGAAAATGCCAACAGGCTTATGCAATAATATGCATGGCAGAAAGGCAAGCCAGATAGCATATTGTGAAAAGGACAATGCAAAACATACACTTTGGTCAAGAATATCATGAACCCTCACCCAGAAACATATGTAAAAAAATGTCTTGAATGGGCTGCAGCGTTTTTTCCACAAAGTCTAGAAATATCTGTAGTCCAACCATTCTCCAAGCAGGATTTCTTCATTTGAAGCTGTGAAATGAACCTCTTTCCACCACTTTTCAATAGGATAGAGATCTGGGCTCTGCTCTGGCCAGGTACAGTAATGAAAGTTAGTCCAACGTTCCTCAAACCAACCATGCAATTCCTGACAGTGAGATAGTCTATTCGTAGCATGGGGGGTGTACCCAATATTTGGTTATTCCTGTGCTGATCTATGCCTCTTTTAGCATGTACAACAGGTCTGCAAACCAAGGTCCTGAAAACCCTCAGACGTTCAGGGTTCAGAGGCTGCTTGTGATGGTCACTTGAGGAAGAAGCACGGTCATTTGCCATTCTTTAACCAATTAACCACAGCTGCTCCTGTTCAGTCATTCAGAGCTCAAAGAAAAACTAGAAAAAGAATCTCTATACCTGCTGTCAGCTATACAGTATATCTCCTGGCCTTTATAAATTAATCTAGTTAAACTAGACCATCGCAAAAAACAAAATATCAAACCGGGGAAGAAACGCACCAGGAATAAACCAAAACTATGACCTACCTCACTGCCAACAGAGAATTTTAAACTCGTTGTCACTTTGGTAAGGGCAGCACAGTGACACAGTGGCCAGCATTGTGGCCTCACTGTTGCTGGAGCCCTGGGTTCATTTCCTGCTGTGTTATCTACATGGAGTTTGTGTGTTCTCCCCAGATTTGCATGGATTTCCTCCCCCAGTCCAGAGCTATACTGGTAGGTTTATTGGCTTCTAGTGTGTGCGTGTTTACGTCTCTATGTGCCCGGCAATGGACTGGCGTCCCATCCAGGGTGTATCCTGCCCTGTGCCACAGCTTGCTGGGATAAGCTCCAGGTCCCCCGCGACCCTATACTGGATAAAGCGGTTATGTTAGTTAGTCATAAATTTTGGATGGATGAACATTGTCACTTGGAAGAGGTCTCCTGCTTCTGCTCAGTGGAAATGCACCTGTACATACCCGGTTTATAACATGTAACTGAGCCCCAGTCTTCAAAAAAATGTGCTAAGAATCTAGGCAGGTTGGGCTGTCAGCCATTGCTCTCTCTCAGCATCACTTATTTGTTTAGATCATTGTTATCATATACAAAATTATTAAGTTTCAGAATTTTGTGCAGCACTCTAAGGCAAACTGTTGTGATTAGCCCTACAAAAAAAAAACAGAAGATTGACTGATTGTGATGAAAAATACCTACAACCTCCTGTATCATCAGGGGAACTGGGTCACTCTTCTGGAATCATGCAATGGTGTGATTAACTTTAATAATGGCATGAATCTGTCTTGATCAAGGTGGCCAATGGGGCAATTCTGAGACTGTGCACAGTTCACATTCTGAAAGGCGGTTCGAAGGAGGTTCCTGTATTGATGAATCAGCATTCAGTGGCAAGACATTGAAGCAACAAGGTTACCCAAAGAGTATAGAAAACAAAACTGTTCAAGTGTGAGACTACTCATGTTTGGGTGGTTTATCGGTTAGTCTTCATCGTCAGGATGCTAACCACTTCCAATTTATTTTATTTGGACAGGATCTCTAACTATGGATGTGTGTTCTTTTTTGTCCAAGCTTTCAAGAACAATAAAAAAATGTTCTCGAATCATAACCGCACATAATTACAACAGCCTGCCATATAATATATTTTAACACTTTCTTTCCTCAGTAAATAACTTCTGCACAAAGTAGGAAAAAAAACAGTTTCTAACTGAGGAATAACTTCATGTAGTCCTGTGTGGCTCAAGTCTGCAGTAGGAGGAGTATTTATGAAGACTGATTTACAGGTTTCAACAACTTGTTGAGCACATTGCATGACAAGAGAGAGAAAAACAGGAACCTCGCAGCTCCAGGAGGTCAGAGCAGTTCAGGATCCCAGTAGCTGGTGGCCATGTGCAGGCTGTATTATACAGGAAGGCACAAAACCAGTGTAGAACTGGACAAGTGATAAGTGCTTCCTCCAATTTCCAGGAATGTGCGTGCTCCCTGAAAGCTGTGCTCAGATGTCGAAGACAACAACTTTCATTTTCAGACCAGACTCTCTCCCTACATGGCTGAGCTTTGGAGAATTATGCACGCGTGGTGAAGCTTCTTGATAGATACAGCTTCATACCCCACAGTCTCCAGTAAGGGTAAGAAAATACTGTCCTGCTCTAAAAAGGCTTTTCATCATTCACCCCCCTCTTGACCTTTCTAAAGCCCTTGTCAATGAGGATAATGCTGACCGGGATTTAAAAGGAAAATATCCTCAAGAGTTCTTGGGAAAATGAAAAGGTTGAGGATTTCCAGGTTTGCTGAACTGTTCCTGAGACTTAGCTTGTGCAGTAACCAACAGCATGCGGGTTAATGTCAAAAGAGCCTTAGAAAGCAATACATTAAAAAGGATGAACCCAGCAGAAGAAAATGCACCAGACTGTGTGGCCCAGCACAGAGAACGGAATTTCAAAGTGCATTTCTGACAGGCTGGTTTATGGGCCAAAAAGGCTTACTTGAACATTCCACAGAGAGAACCACTTTTGCCCTTACCAAATATGTACAGGCCACAAAATCAGATACTTGCCCAGTTCACATTTTCTCCGAGTTAAGCCTACCAGACCAAATATACAGAGGAGTCGTGTTTTTCTCCGGTTGCCGAGGACTAGACGTGAAAGTGATGGCAGAGAGAAGAGAGGAGAAAAGACTTTCAAGCGCAGGAAACCTGTTTATCTGAAGTGTGGGAACATGCAAGACCACACAGGGACTCCAGGAGATGTGGTGGTGCTCTCTTCCAAAGACGAAGTCCTCTCCTGTCTCCTGTGGTATCTAACTCCAACCCTCCACTTGGGCACAACTAACTGCTTCTTCTAATTCGGGGTCGTGAGGGAGCCAGGGCCTATCCTGGCAAGCAATGGGCACAAGGCAGGATACACCCTGGACAGCACGCCAGTCCATTGAAGGGCACACAGACACAAACACACTCTCGCACCAGGGCCATGTCTTTGGACTGCAGTAGCAAATCAGAGTACCAGGGGGAAAGGCACACAAACACAAAGAGAACATACAGACTCTCCTTTCAGTATCCCCTCTACACAACAACACTCTTCTACAACAACCAGTTAGTAAACAAGATACATGTGCCGGATGGCCTATTCAAGTTAGTCTCCAGTCCGGTGTTCTATCGCCTGCTGAACTCTGTAATAGCAGGCGACGACAGAACTTAAAGCAGCAACTCCAGCAAGCCGGCTACGGAGGCTACTTGTGCAGTCCCAGCTGCAGCTGCTAGATTATTTCAAAAAATCAGTTGACATCCACAGTTTTTTTTTTGAGGATCCGCTACTGTGGAATGCTGTAATGCACAACATTCCAAGTGTTAATTAAATGACCGTTCCAGAAAGTATAAGCACAATAAGAGGGGAGAAAAGCGACCTACGGGATATTTCTCTTACCAACAAATAATATAAACTCCCAGATTTCGACTGGTCTTCGTAAACCTACATTGCAAATGTAGCGCTAGAACTAATTTAGCCTGGGGGGGTCCGCTAACATGTGTATATCGTATTGTCGCAGGGGCAACTACCTTTATTAGCCCGTTAAAGCAGTAAATTACTCTCCTGTCTCCTGTGTTCACTTGTTAAACGGGTTATTTGATAGATCATATTAAAAAGTGATGCAGCCACTTAAATATACAGTAAGAAACAGTTCAAAAAGACATTGTATCATTATAGCATTCTTGAAGCCAAAAAGTCAATCCCGAAGAAACGTGTTTGCTATATTGTTATATGTTAGTCATATAAGCTACTTTGAGGAACCCAACATCCGTTCCTGGGGAGTGTAGCTTGTTAGTCTTATGATAACAGCTCTAGCGTAACAGTGTAGCAGCTGAAAAAGATGCCGTATACAACAGTCCAGCTGCGTAATCGCTTGCTTTGCGGATAATATATGTATATATCGCTGCTGTTGCATTAAAGTATAATTGCATTTAACCGAAGTTCAAGGAAAGGGAAACCTGTCCTATTAAGTGGTAGGCCTGTATGACCGTAATGTCTAATATATACATGAGTCAGCGGCATGTCAGAATTTGTATTATTTGTGATGGGTCGGCAAAGCATACAGGATTTTGTATGATTTCCGACACAAGTTCGGCTTCGTTTCAACTTTTTGATGTTCGACTGCAAGTTCTTGGGAAGGGTCCCACTGAGATCCATTTCTCAATGTAATCTTTGTGTATATAACAAACGTTGGAGGTTCTCTGTGCTCATTATCAAGAGCTGCTTAGGACTATAACTTTGACTGGAGTTCGGGTATCAGTTTATTCATGACGTAGCATTTTTCTTTCCTGCGCTTTCTCCTGCTGGCAATATTTACTTGAATTTGCCCGATGGGATGCCCCAAGGTTGAACTGGGCAGAACTGGGACCCACTCAGAAATAAACAAAAATGTCGCACACTATTTGAATTGGGATGCCCGTTGAGATGTTAAAAAAGGAGAACAGAACCTTTTAATAAGAACGCCACTTGCGAGTCCTCATGATCTTTGACAAAATTCTGCCACCTGCAAACCCCAAACGAAGGACATAAATGTATTGAACAAACGCTATAATAAACGTAGTGAATCAATAATTCCACATGCCTGTATTGTGGGCTACACGGCTCATTTAAGGAATAAAGCCTTTCCATTTTAAGTCACATATTTCCGTTTTACAGTACCATTTTAAAAGCCCAAGACTCGTCTGCGTATTAGCCACAGCCCAGAGTTTATAACCTTCCCATCCCAAAATTCAGCTCCTCTAGGCAATACCCTCAGAAAGCAGGAGTTGCTGTTACATCAATAGGTAACACTACCTGGATGTGTCCTTTATTATAATGGTAACATAATATTTTGACACAGTATAGTTAGCCAACAGACCCGCTAAAACACACTCTGTGCAAACACTTCTGGATGCATGTTTCTAAATGTGCATTCTAAATGTCTAAAACAAATCCTAAACTGACACACACACACACACAAAATAAATGTTACCTGGTTTAAATCCTCGTCGTTCAACAAATGCGATTCCCGGGGTTTAAAACAGTTCTGACATTTACTTTTGTTAAAAATATTGGCTTGAAACTTCCGACAAGGGTTGTCCTTAGAAGACATCGTCGAAAACGGGATCCGGGGGGATTTGATGCGGCGAATAATAAACTTTGAGATCCGAAAATAAAAATAAACACGGACACAAAATCGCTCCAAGTGATCCTTTTAAGAACGGCGGTGGATTCCCACGGGACTGCAGCAGAGTTACCACAAGCCTCCTTTCCAATAAACTCCCAAAGCTCTCCCAAGCTGATATGAAGGCATGCCAGATTCCGTCGCACAACCCCAAAGCACACGGGAATTATAAAACCGGCAAGGCGCAAGCAGAATAATAAAGTTCCGGCTAGCACAGATCATATACATACTATGCACTCTTTAAACTGCTGCTGTTTGGAAACAACTTTATGTGTTATCTTCTACATAGAGCTGGGTACATACTGTAGATGATAAACCAAATGCTGTAGGGTTGAGCTAACTAAATGTCATTCCGGTCAGTTTGGTGCCTTGTCCGCAAAGTGGACAAAACCACACACAAAAAAAAACACCCCACGCAGGTGAGTGTCGGGATGGCAATCAATCCACGCAAACTCCCCCAGTGACAGTATTCCACAACTGCATTAATCAGAATAATAAAAACGGGAAAATACGGCCCGGGGATCTCTCATGGGCAGCTCCTATGAATCAAGTGCCGTCTGTAAGATTCTCCAGGCATGCCAACTTCCACAGCGTTAGCAACCCAGAAGGAAAACGAAAAAGAACAAGTTTCTGATTTTTCTCTTCGCTCTCGGCGAGGAGGTGAACTAGATATTGTCAAGGTCCAGCCACATCACGTGCGCAGTCCTCGCAGGCCGTGCTTTCTTTCTCCTCTCTAGTCCATGTTAACTTCTTTAGACGTTTCACACGCTCATGCACAACAAATGGTCGTTTTGTCCTGCGCTCAGTATTTTCTGCTATCCAGCGCAGAGCTGGAACAACTCCGCAGGGATAGCGGGGGAGGAGCCGGGGGGGGGAGGGGGCGTTGATTGTCGCTTGTGTCAGCGAATAGCAAAAATCGCTGAAGCTACGTAACTGGGAAGGTTTTAAAATGTTCTCCAATAGGAATAGAGAAATGTGGAAGGGGGAGGGGCTACTCCTTTCAGGTTTGGTGGACTGTCCAAGGACTCCAGTCTGTCTTTCAGACGACTGAATGACAGGGCAGTCGCTGTGATATTGCAATCGGTTTTACATAACAGCCAGGGAAACCAGTAACAGACTTAAACCCTCACTCTTTTTTTAAGTCTTAATAATTAATCATTTTAATAAAATGTGCCTTTTGTTAACCTGTTTTTTTAACTTGTTAATTACTGTTTATGGTACGGCCCCACGAGTTTGAAATGATTTGGACAGAATTAAGCAACTGGTCTTTATGAGGGTATTTCATACTGAACGTCGTAAATACCGGCACAGTGCAAAGTTTAGATATTTTTTCTTGAAGTCACTTCACGCAATGACGCAACGATCATCCAGGTTGTTGCAATTTCTAATTTAAAATCTAAAATGACTCATATGCAATTTCTTCGGCAAAACTACGGAAGAGTATGAACGTCCTACCGGGTGTCATTGTCGGTTAGCTTTAGCTATGTGAATGTTTAATTATCCATTTAAAAACGCTTCAAAAACATATTCCCATGTCCATATTAGATCTTTGTCTGTTTTTCACGTTTGTGATTTCTTTAGTCACATAAATGCCCCGTAGAAATGAAAAATTCTAACTGTAATGTCAAATTGCAGCTGTTAACTACTTACAGCACAAGGCGTCTTGGTATTTGTAGTTCGGTAAGGCTATTTGTTTAAAGTGACAAGAGACTTTGTGTAAATCGAAAGGGAAATATTTCATGGCTGTCTTTTTTTGCAGAGGAAGTTTTTGCTGAACGTTGCGCTGAAGTCACCCGACTTAACCCCCCCAAAAAAATACACTTTCTTCAAGATCGCGGTTGGAGTGACCAGCTGCAGCGGCTGACGCACCGCTTGGCTGTGCGTAAAGACGCGCAGCATGGAGGAGAGAAGAGAGAAAGGAAGTTCAAACCTGGCTCTTTATTGGTTTCTTCCCGAACAGTGCGTTTAATGAAACTGCATCATCATCGTCAGCCTTGCGTTCAAAGACCATTGCGCCGGATAAAAACGCACTCATTTTATGACTGAGGGGTGTTGACAAAGGGTGGTGCGGTGGTTCCTATCGCTGTTTCACAGTGCTGGGTTCAATTCCAGATCTGGCGTCCAGTGTCCTCCCACAGTCCAAAGGCACTTAGGTGGGTTTGTGGGCTCCTAGGAAGACAGCCGTGCTGTGTGTCAAGTGTGTGCTTGTTTGTGTCCTCCGATAGACCGACATTTGTATCTTGCCTTGAACCTGTTGCTAGCTCAGATAGGCTCCGGCTCCCCTGTATTCCTGAATTGGACAAAGCGGTCGGGAAACAGATGAATGGTTTATTGGCTTCTAGTGTGGCAAAGAGGGGCCGCACTGATACCGAATGCCGCCTCTGTTCATTTCCCTGCTCAGCACGGACACATCGGTGTCATCGATCTGCTATGGAGCAAGCGCAAGAAGAGTAAACTGGAAAACTACACAAAGAGCATGCCAGCCCAGTTTCTTTTCACTCAGGTCACAACATTAAAATGCCCTTTTGGTGTGAAACGCTCAACGGCCGTTACGTAGCAGAGCATTACTAATAATCCAGACGCTTTCCACACTTGATCCCCAGTGTTCACGTGTGAAGTCTGTGCTTTCATTACCCATGTTGCACTGCCTTCTCAAAAACACACCTGTACTGTATCTTTGTACACTGCTGTCACCAGCACAACTCTGTGTGCCAGTACCCCCTGAAGGGCATCAGATCACAGGCATCTTTGTTGCACTTGCTGTTCTTGCCATGTGCATGTAGTCCTAGTGTATTGTATGGTAATTCTACACCTTGTTGGGCAGGGTTTCCTATGATATATCTTCTGTTTGAGGTTTCCTTCACTGTGTAACATATTACATTAGCATTATGCCATGCGATACGTTTTTCTTAACACACTCCACCTACTATTGTACTTTGTGACTGTTACTGCCTGTAAGTTTACAATGGTCATTGATGAATAGTGTATTGTAATCGTGCTAATCGGCATAAGTGGATAAAGGCGTCGAGCAAATAACTTGCACTAAGACAACGGTTTACATTAACGTTCAAGATGAAGACTTATTTGCAGGGACATCACTGGATCAAACATTCAAGACGGGACAAGCTGCAGTTTCTTCTGAGACCTTCCGGCCTTTCAAAGTGAATCACACAGTACTGTCGATGAGGTGAAGATGCCAGAGTCCTGCTTATGTGATTGTGAGCCCTTATTGCATGGCACTATGTATCAATCCATTTTCTAACCACTTTATCCAAAACAGGATTGTGGCAGAATGGGAACCTTTCCTGGCAAACGCCAAGCACAAGACGGGATGCACCCTGGACAGGACACCGATCACAGGGCACAAACAGACACACCCTCGCGCACACTCCCACCGGGGCCCGCTTTCCCTGAAGCCAATTGATCTACCAGTATGTCTTTAAACCGGGGAGGAAACCCACACAGACGCATGAAAAACATGCAAACTCCACACAGACAGCACCCCAGAAATTGAACCCAGGGCCCAAGCGTTGTAATGCTGACCACTACACCACTGTGCCGCCCACATTCCTTTACTTCTTTTGTCGCTTGTTTCTTCAGTAACACTTTAAATTTGCTGTTGTAAATAGTATACTGCATATAGTCCATAGAGCGACATAACTGTGATGATGGCCAACCTGTGCTGCTGCTGAATTAAATGTCGGACGCAAAACCCAAATCCAATCAGTAGGCTGAACCATACCCGTATGTTCACAACCTTATTAATAACATGATAAGTGAGTGTTTTTAGACCGAACAAGGACCTCAACTAAAGTGTGACCAGTTCTTCCTTGAAAGTCCACAATCAGAAATACTGATACTGAAGGTCAACCGCACCACATGCAAGTAACTGAATAACAGGGTGGTGGGAGTCTGAGTGGAGTTAGAGAGGAAGTAAATCATTCTAGCAGGCAAAAAATATTTTTCATATGCCTACGAATACGTGAATGATGAATGGAATGTCTCAGTTGTTTACAGTGGTGATTTCCTGCAACATGTATACAGTAGCTGCAGACGTCTAGGTGCGACACATAGCTGTCCGATCTATAGCCCATGCTTTGAAGGAACGTCTGCATGGATTCAGCTCAGATTGCAGTGGAAAATCGGCAGTGTGCTCAGGTGACAGGCATATCTCCAGACGTGAGTTATACTGGCACATAAGCAAGTCCTTTCCCATGTCTCCTGAGCCATGCAAAGGTAAAATAGTTATCCATCGATCCATTTTTTTGCCGCTGTGTTCGGTACTGGGTTGCAAGGGAGCTGGAGCCTATCCCAGCAAGCAACAGGCACAAGGCAGGACACACCCTGGAGGGGACGCCAGTCCATCACAGAATAGCAAATCAATTCAATTCAATTGAATTCCCTGTAAAAGCAAGTCCAAACAAATAAAGTTCCCTAGGGTGCAAATCAGTGAGCAGTTAACGCACAACAAAAATCTGTCCAAAACCAGGTTATTATAATGCCAGTCATGTTTACCACAAAATACCTTCATAAGGGCTCGGGCCACTGTTCTCATTTTGCAAGCTGAGGCTGGTGTGGTGCAGCACTAACCTGCCATGCTCACCCCGTTAAATAATACACATCTCTCGGTGTGCAACACCAGCAGGAGTGACTGCGTTTTAAATCTCTTCAATGCACAATGGAGTCAACTGCACTTTGGTGCAAAATGCCATATTGGACAGGAGCCAGCCACAGCCTCCACAGCTTGAAAGCTGTTTTCATCCCGCGCTCTTCAGTATTTACCTGCCTGCAGAGGAGAAAAAAAAACACTTGGCACCTCGCTTTGTCTAGTGGCACGTGAAACATAAACCTGCATGCGCCAATATTTACAGAGGCACCGGGAGCAGGTGTGTGCTGGGTAAGTCACAGGAAGAGGCAGAACTGCTGTCAAAGTCCAAAGGATCTTTTTTTGGCCCTTGAGTGTTTGTACAGCTATTTTGTGATAAACGCTGGAGACATACAGTCCTTCAAGAATAAGTCTGGCACGCATCCAGCCGGCAAAGCAATTTTGCGAGTATAATTTATGTGATATGTGCATTGGAATTTTTCAATGCTTTCGGCGGTGATTCGGAAAGGCTTTTGTGTCAGTTTCAAAGAACAAAAGGTCCTGGCATTGGAGATGTGTTTGTGTCCATCATCCCTGAGACAACCAGATGTGTGCTGTTGTGTGATTTTTCTCCTCTGCCAGCGCAGAGGCAACTGGTTAACAGACCCCCCTTTAAAGGCAGTGTGAAACAGACAAAAGCCTGTTAGCTCTTCAGTTTCCACATAAGGAAACATCTTGAAGTTCAGCAGTGCAGTGATTTAAACAGAACCCTAGAATAAAGAGTGGATTGCCATCAATCACTGTTAATAAAAACAAGACGTTGTCCTGTTATCTTCTTACAGCTCACTTTCAAACATTCGCTGAAAAACATTCAGTACAAGTAGTGACTGTTAGCTCTTATCACAGATTACTTCATCTGAGGAGAGAATGCACCCGGAACAGAGGAGAATTTGATATGGTAACAGCAAGGTAGGCTGTAAAAGATCAATAACACTGCCTACTGGCCTGCCTCTTGTTTAATATAGAATTGACAATTACCTTTAATTTCTACCTCACCCCTTAAATACATAGTTTTTTGACAGACTCTGGATATACGCCAGAGTTGAAGGGCTATTTAGAAATGATAAGATTTTCACAATTCTATCAAAATCAAAAGCACAAATACAGTATTTTGTATGATGTTCCTGTATTTCTTATGCAATATGCACACCTTGTATATTTTCCTTTATATGACACCAGTGGCTTA